ACACTATTTTTTTCTGTATAATTTTGAGTAAACGCCGCGGTGCAAAGTCCAGCAAGTGCCGCACGGCCGACGACGTACCGCCGCTAATGATACCGTAGTATTCTTCCTGTTGTCAAAGTGGCAACGTCAATAAATCGATCTCCACTTGCGCACCGTCGCCATAAACGCTGCTAACCTTTTGACGCCCGAGGATCACGCCGGACATCGCGTCGTCGACGCCAACGAAAGTGCCACGATATTATGCGAAGATTATATATTCTTACCATCGCCGCTAATATTAATATATATATACATATATATATTATTATTTATATATACGTATATGTTAATATTCATTTATATATCCCTACAGCCGACGCCGCTGCCGCCATATATGCCTCGCGCCCCGCCCGCCAACAAAACTCAGCTATACCTCGTGCATGATACGTTTACGTACTTAAGTCGCTTTACATGTATATATATATATATTCTAATTACTATTAAAACTTATATATTAATACGCTTTATTCTCATTAAGAGATATATAGGGTATTTATTCCGATACAAAGGATGATTCCCGATTCGTCATTTTACGTCACTACCTCCACGTTGCGCGCCTGCTGATTTCCTTGGATGTGGTAGCCGTTTCTCAGACTCCCTCTCCGGAATCGAACCCTGATTCCCCTTTACCCGTTACAACCATGATATTGATAGTAACTACTATCATAACATGTAACTAAAAAGTGAAAAATAAATATAGTTTAAAAAAACTAAAAAACACGCTTTTAAAGAACATCGAACTAAAAAGTTAAAAATAATTTTTAAAATAAGCGTAAAACAATAATGAACGAAAAGNAAATTTTCAACTTAAAAATGCTATAACTTTTTGAAAAATGTATATATCAGCACAAATTTTTTTTTTCTAAATACATTATAAGTACATCTTTCATTTGACATACTTTTTATTAAAATTGGACAATTTCCCCTTATATAGGGGGCGTTCAAAACTTAAAATATTGTAAAAAACATAGATCTTTTTCAACTGAACTTTTAAAAATGTTCCGGAAATACTGCGTCCTTTAAACATATATCAAATTAAAGGTTATGTTATAAACTATCAAATGAAAAAAAATTTGTCCCGACATCTTATCTTCTATGTGCAAATGGCTGTCGAAAATTAAAAAAAAATGTAATGTTTGCGATAAAAATTACCTTTTATCGGGATGTTTTTTGTGCTTAAAACTGCCATAACTTTTTCAAAAATGAACAAATAAAAATAATATTTTTTTGTATTGAAACCTTAGATATTTCCCTTTCATTTGATATTATTTTTTTTGAAAATCTAACACTTATTCTGCTCACTGGGGGGGATTTAAAATAGTAACTTTTTCAACTTAATTTTTGGAAATGTTCCGGAAATACTGCGTCTTTTAAACATATATCAAATTAAAGCTTATTTTATGTACTAAAAAATGAAAAAAAATAAAAAAATTGTCCCGACGACCTATCATCTATGCGCAAATATGCCAATTCAAAAATATGCTATTTTAACAAATTTTTTTTTTTAATTTAACACTATCTACAGATTTGCATCGAAGCGTTTTTTATGATAGTGATTTTAATCACTGTCAGATATCATCTATACTGGACCCAACTATACCACGACCCCACTGTGCCGCCACCCCACTATGCTGGGTTTTTTTTTAATATGCTATTTGATATATTGATCGATTAACAAAATACAAAACACTACAAATAAAATATAAAAACATAATAAAAATAAAAAATCCTTTTTTAAAATACTGTAACAAAAATATATGATTTATATTGAGTAAAAAAATTATTTTTCTAAATTTGAATTTAAAAACGGTAGCACAGTTGAGTCGCGGCACAGTGTGGACATCGTGGCCTACGCCGTTATATCACCCGCGCGCCAACCCGGTAAAACTTAGGAACCAGTAATGAAAGAAGGGACTATGCGCATTATTAACCGATTCCAGTCACTCTTCTTGAGACTTAAAACTACCCCTGTTATTGTTTGCTGTCACATATAAACCGGCTACCGCCGTCTGTACTCGTCCGGGTGATTGGTTTGTATAATACATATAGCCGGTATTTCCCACCATCATCAACGACAATTTTTAATATTATTATTAATTAGTTAAAAACTATTGGATAAAACTATATGGAAAATAGTTCTGAGTATATCAATTATATCTTCTACAGTATTTTCGGAATATTTTCGAAAATTAAGTTGAAAAAAGTCTAGTTTTTTTATACATTTTTAACTTTTGAACCCCCAATGTTAAAAGGGAAATAGTCCGATTTAAAATAAAAGAATGTTGAATGAGAGAGGTATATAAGTAGAATATATTATAAAAAACCCAGCACAGGGGATGTCGAATGAAAAAGGGATTATTAAAAAATAGTATTTCCCATAAAAAAAT